CATTTCCCTTCTTATTTTTGAGTCTATTTGGCATAAGATGTGGATGAAGCTTCTAGCAAGTATCTCTTGTGTGTTTAGGCTTCTTACAGTAGTCATAGATCAAATCTTTTTTTTATTCCTTCTTGATTCATCCCGGTCTCCACCTTGTTTAGGTCTCACAGTACTAACCATGGCTGACTGATCAAAACCAGAATATTTCATCATCACATTTCTCCTGCTCTCCTCCCCTCACACAAAGGCATATGCTTGGGAGAGGGTAACACTGTCCCTGGAAAGAATGTGCTATCTTGTAATATTATACTTGGGATTAAGGACAGCAAGAAATTCAAACACCCTATACTTCTCTAGGTGTTTCTGGTGGGCAGCTACATCCTTAGTGGTTTCCCAAGCAAATGTCTCTAAATGGTTAATCTCCTACCACAGGGTCTTAAAGGCTGAAAAGTAAATTGCAATAGGTCTATCTCCCTGCCTTGTAGCAATAATCTGATTTCTCAATTGATAAGTCCTAGCAACATTCTCCCTCTGTGAATAGGTTTCTGCAACCCCATCCCATATTTCCTTAGTTGTATTTGCCCATAAAAAGTTTTTACTTATATGGAGCAACATGGAATTACACAGCCAAGTCATCACCATATAGTTCTCCTGTACCCACCGAGAGTTGTTTGTTTCGGGTTTCACTTCTTCACCAGTGATATACTCTAACTTCCCACAAGCACCAAAATGGCCATCTTTGCAAATTGTGACCATTCTAAGTAATTCGAACCATCCAACTTAATTGTAGTAATGGTCCCAACCCTGAAAAGGTCTCCAGCACCTCCTCTTACTGGTCCCATTTCACTCTCGGGCTTGTTTTCAACTCCGTGACCCTCCATACTTCTCAAAAGGTGCAAAGAAAATTACTGTAGTATGCAAGATCAAATGAAACACTTTTGGAACCAACAACACCTTTCTGGTGCCCTAGATGGTCCTCCCACAAAAGATTCATTTTTGCGAAATGGGAGAAGAGAGAGAAGAGGCAGCCTCTCTCTCCAGAAACCTCCAAATCAGGTAGGACTTGAACCGCCCCCTATAGAAAACTCCAAGGAACCCTAAAAATCTAGGGTGCCACTTCCTAGGTCAAAATTGAAGAGTCCAACAGAAACAAGACTCTTCTCCTTTCTCTAGTTTTTTCTGATTTTGATGAGAAACCCTAGACTAGCTATAGGGAAAAACAGATCCACCAAAAAACAGATCTCTGATCAGCCTCTTCAATCACCATGCAGTCAGCCAATCTAGGGCTGAATGACAAAACAGCTCGAGGAACCTTCGGCCTTGCTCTGATACCAAGTAGAAATCATTGCTTGTAAATTAGGATGAATTCCTTGTGAAGAGAAAGAAGAAGAGGATGAAGAGTTTCAGCAGTAGAGAAGAAAAGAGGGGAAAGAAAGAGTGGGATGATAACCAGAATTGAAAATTAATTCTGGCTGCCAATTCCTCATTATATTTTATACATAACTTAAAGAATGAAAGATTACAAGAATGCCCTTATTAGGGCGGCTACTAAAGTAGCTGAACAGTCACAACTTAAAAAACATAAGCTAATGGGCCTTAAGCCCAACAACTTCCTAACTTAACGACTTAAAATAAGAACAAAACAACTGGGCCCAATAACTAGAAATCGGCCCAACTCAACAAAAATAAAAATAATTAAGGAAGAAGGAGAAAAAAGAAAGAAAGGACATTGGGAGAGAAATAGTAGCCGACCTGCTTAGGAGAGACTTAGAGCAAATCTTTCATTCTCTCTGAAAGCAGTCTGCCCAAATTTATATTATCAGTAAATTACCATTGGGTACAAAAGTACACATGTTTATGTAACTTTTTGGACAGGAGTATCCTTATTTATTTTGATCAATAACTGTAATTGTACTAATATAATGAAAAGTTATAGAACAAGGGAGCTAAACAATCTTAGTTGCCGAGAACAACCATTGAACACCAAAAAAATGATTACAATACAGCCCAAAATATAGAATTTCTGTTCACCCCTTGTCTAGCTAGACCATCTGCCAATGAGTTCGCACTTCCTTTTACCCATTTGTATTGAATTTCCATGTCCTTAGTCAGCCATTTAAATTTCCTCTTTTCATTGTTGTAATTCCAAAGTCTAGAGTTATCCTCTTTTAGCCAATTCACCACCCCTTCAGAATCTCCTTCTATGATCAGCTTGTTAATTTGCATATCCTCGATCCTTTGTTCCCCTATTCATCTCTTATTATTCCCCCTATTCTGGATGGCTCTGGATTACCCATGCTGCTGCCATTAAAGTTCAATTTAGTAAAGCCATGAGGTGGAGGGAGCCAACAAGAGTTTGAGGCCTTCTTTATTGGAGCAACTTCTGCTATCTCCTTCCATTTTCTTTGCAACTCATCAACTGATAATTCTGCAAACAAAGCCAAGGTTTTCAGCTAGTGTATCACCCTAATATGGATGACCTCCAATATTACTTCCAAACTTCTCTCCTTATCTGAGAAGATCCGTGAATTTCTCTCCTCCCAAATAGTCCAACAGATTGCTGCCCTCATACACCTCCACATAATCTTGTTCCCTTTTGTTTGCCAATTTGGCATAGAATTGAATAAGCTTTGCACATTCAAATGGGGGGTCCGCCTGCACCCAAACAGAGAAGTACACCATTCCCAAATGACTTTAGTAAACCGATAGGAAATTAGTAAGTGATATCCATCAACTTTACAGAGAACACACTAGTGAGGACAGAAACAACTATTGGGTCTTTTTCTTTGAAGTAAATCTGTTGTATTAACTCTTTCTAGAAAGACTTCCCAACAGAAACTTCCAACCTTAGGAGGTATAGGATGACACCACCCATCTTTAATAGGGAATGGCAAGCCCGAGGGAGTGAGTGTCCAAATTCTACTGTCTGCCTTTGTTGGGTCTAGGAAAACCCCTTCAAGAATGGATAACAAGGATAAAATACAATCAAGCTCTGTGTCCCTGATATCTCTTCTTAGTCCCAAGTTCTAGCCGACCCTAGAAGCAGAATTAGAAGGAACAAGGAATGAGGAAACCAGTTCATTTTTAAATGTGGAAAGAGCAAAAAGGCTCGGGAATTGGTCTTTTAAGGGAGAATCTTCAATCCAAACATGTTCTCAAAAATTAATTAGATTGCCCGAGTGCAAGTCATACCTAATCCATGGAGAGAACAAAGGCAGAATAGCTTGAATAGCTTTTCAGGGAGATGCTCTTGTAGTCCTTGCCAGAATACCAAAATCCCAACCATTGTCTGCAACCCCATGAATACTACCCACTATCTTCACCCAAAGTGTGTCTTTCTCCAATGTGAATCTCCATAACCATTTCCCTAGTAGTGCCAAGTTCCGATTCCTTATGTTCCCAATACCCAAACCTCCCTCCCTCTTACTCCTAGAAACCATCTCCCACCTTACCCTATGGTCCTTCTTCTCCTCCCCCGGCTCCCGGAGAAAGTCTCTTATTAGTTTCTCTAATCTACTAGGCACCCTAACCGGAATCTTAAAGATTGACAAAAAGTGGACAGGAAGGTTAGCTAATGTAGACCTGATTAGAGTGATTCTCCCTCCAAGAGACAAATAATTCTTCCAAGTTGCTAGTTTCTTTTCAAATCTCTCCACAATCGGAACCCAAAACTCACCTTTCTGAGGGTTATCTCCCAATGGCAAACCGAGGTAGTTTAAGGGCCAATTTAATATTGCACACTCTAAAATATCTGCACACTCAGATGTTTCCCCCTCCCCCATATTTACCCCAACTATATAGCTCTTCTCAAAATTCACCTTAAGGTTTGACATTTGCTCAAAGAGTTGTATAGTGAGCTCCAGGTTTCTGATCCTGTTAAGACTCCCTGCTTTACAAAAGAGTATAGTGTCGTCTGCAAATTGCAAATGTGTGAGTGGCACATTCTCCAAATTCTCCCTCCCAACTCTCCAACATCTTATTAAGCCCCTAGAATATGCTCTAGAAATTATTCTCCCCAGAACTTCGGCAACCAATGTAAATAAAAAAGGGGAAAGGGGGTCTCTTTGTCTAATCCCTCTCAAGGCTGGAAAGAAATCTACCATTGTCCCATTTACCGGTATGGGGTAATGGTAGTTCTTGATGCAACCCAACACCCATTTTCACCAATCATCTCCAAACCCAAAATTGATCATCACCTCCATCAAGAAAGACCAATCCAACAAATCATAAGCCTTTTCCAAGTCCAATTTGCAAACCACCCCTTTTTCTTGGATCTCCTGAACTCCTCCAAACTCTCATTTGCTATCAGAATTCGATTTGTTATCTGTCTCCCCTTCACAAAAGCTACTCGGTTATCTGTTATGATTGCTGGGAGCACTTTTCTAATTCTAATGGACAACACCTTAGTGATGATCTTATAGAGGCTGTTAACTAGGCTAATCGGCCTAAAGTCCCTCGGGTGATTTGCATTCCTTTTCTTAGGAACCAAAGCAATGAATGTGGAGTTCAGCCTAGGGTTAATCACTCCTTTAGAATGGAATTCATCAAACACAAGCCATAGATCCTTTATTAATATCTCCCAATAATCCTGATAAAAAGCCATCGTAAAACCATTTGGGCCTGGTGCATTTGATCTATCCATAGAGAACACTGCCTCTTTTTATCTCTTCCACTTCAAATTTCCTTTACAACCATTCCCTATCCTCTATCTGCAATGTTGGCCATTCCAATCCCTCAATCCACACCCTATTGTTTAGGGATCTTCTAAAAATAGACCTAAAATAATCTACAAAGGCCCTTGCGATTTCTCTTTGGTTGGAAATTGTTACCCCTTCAATATCCAGACTTGAGATATAATTCCTTCTCCTTCTTCCACTTCCCACTGCATGTAATCCTTGATATTTTTATGAGTGGGAGTATTCCAACAATTTTTGTTAATGATGTAATTTCATCTACTTGCTATAAGTAAACATCTATATGAGATTGATATGTCAATGCTACTGCTGCAGTACTTCTTGTATCAGTTGTTGCGAGGACTGAAATATGTACACTCAGCAAATGTCTTGCACCGTGATCTCAAGCCAAGCAATTTATTCTTAAATGCTAACTGTGATCTTAAGATTGGAGACTTTGGACTGGCAAGGACAACATCTGAAACAGATTTCATGACTGAGTACGTTGTTACTCGTTGGTATCGGGCACCAGAGTTGCTCCTGAATTGCTCAGAATACACTGCTGCAATTGATATCTGGTCAGTGGGTTGCATACTTGGTGAAATTGTGACACGAGAGCCCTTGTTTCCTGGGAAAGATTATGTTCATCAGTTGAGGCTTATCACAGAGGTATTCTTTGGAACTTTACTGGCACTAACTGATTTATGTTGGACAACCTTGCAACTGCTGCTGCTGCTTAATTATCCAAGATAACAACTTATTTTTTCCCATGAAAATAACCCCACTTGGATGGAAATTCATTATTTCTCTCAGGCATTCAGGTTCTGCTCGTACTTCAAGGAGGTTATTACTTGGTGCATGATCCTTAATTATTCATATAATATCATTCTTAGGCCATATCTACTCCTTATTACCCAAAGGGACACAACTACACTACCTGAATTACTATTGCTGACACAGTATCATTTTAGGAGACTCGTAAGAGGTCAAGAACAAATATTCAACAGTTCTATCTACTCTTTATTTGTCATGACCAAAGAAGTTGAAAGGTTATCAAGTATACCATTTTCTGGAACAATAAAAATAAAAAATGAGAAGAATATTAAAGTATGTTTTCTTTCACCTTTTGCCTTCTATGGTCTCTACTGATTCTAAAGATTAAAGGTAAGAAATGATGGAAAAGTCGTGGTTAAAAAGCAGTGTTGGAGGTTGCTTTCTTATTAGGATGATGCTGACTGTGCTGTGAATTCTTTTCCTTTTCTCTCAAAAAGTTAATAGGTTCACCTGATGACGCCAGCCTTGGATTTCTTCGAAGTGATAATGCTCGGAGATATGTTAGACAGCTTCCACAATACCCAAGACAACCATTTTCTGCTAGATTCCCCAATATGTCTCCTGGGGCTGTTGATTTGCTAGAGAAAATGCTTGTGTTTGATCCAAACAGGCGCATTACAGGTATAATGAATTAGAGTTAATTTTAGACACAGGATTTCTAAGTCTGGCTCACTGGACATTTTCTTGTTCCTTTGCAGTTGATGAGGCATTGTGCCACCCATACTTGGCATCACTGCATAATATCAATGATGAGCCTATTTGCCCAAAGCCTTTTGTTTTTGATTTTGAGCAACCATCATTCACTGAAGAGAACATCAAGGAGCTCATCTGGAGGGAATCTGTGAAGTTCAATCCTGACCCAACTTACTAGGGAATATGAGATAGTATTTAGTACCTGTATTATAGAAAGATGTTGAGAGAATCAGCTTCCGAGGTTTCAATGTTACCGTCACAATCCATGGAAGAAAAAGAGATATAAAACTGCACTAGAGATGCTGAGAGATATAAAATGTACAAGGAAGCTGAAGCAACTATGCAGGATATTATGGATGCCTCGGAAATATGATAAAACTCCAATTCTGTGTTAATGGACGTCCTTCCATGGAGTTGCAAACCATGTCGATGTGGGGTATTTTTTTTTCTATCGATATAAATTGTGTATTAGAATGTTTGGAGCTATGGAGAAGATATTGTGTAATGTTGCAAGTCTTTTTCACACTTTCTAATTTTGTCACCTTTAAATAAAAATGCTAATTGGAAGAGTTTCTTTAATATGTTGGACAGAGGTTAGTAATTTCTTGATGTACTGTAGTTAAACAGGTTTCTTTCTATCTATGAAAGCAGCATTTTGTTATGTGCTTTAGAACTCACCCTAAAAGTTAGATGCCAGAGGGAGGGAACGTATCACATATATACCCCACAACAGCATCCCATACTATCGATGCGGGATACCTTACATTAGCACCCCATACTACCAATGTGGGATAAATGGATCGTAACACACTTTAATCATGAAACCTAAAGATGATTAAATACTTGTCAATACATTGTATCCGGTGGGGACTAATGGGGCAAGCCACGGACCCCGAACTGACCTTTACGAAAAGGAAAGAAATGATTGCAAGGTCTTATGTATATAAAGGTTTAAGCATCAATTTCCACGGGGTTTGTTGGAGGGTGTTAATGGTTGTTGCAAACAAAGGGTGGATGTGTGCAAGTACAAGAGTGAATTTGTTAGCAGTTGACCTAATGCCAACTCATCTCGTTTGGCATTAGACAATTTGAACGTTGTCCTGATGGAGTGTTGAGAATATCTGGACCTGATTCGAGCGTATGATTACAATCAGGGTGAGTATGCTGTATTTGTTGTCATTCTTGGTGTATTTTCCCCACCAGAAAGCGCCCTGGCCGCCGATTGTCATCACCTGCGAGCAGTGAAGCCTTGCACTGTAAATATACCTTAATTACAATATCAGTGAGGTTGCTTCCAAAAAGTATGAGGTTTCTTTGGCCATGAAGCTGCTAATTACATTAGTTTCAGCAATGGGCTGTTTGGGAGCCCTCCTACGTAAGATCTCTCCATTTGCTTTCTCTAATCTCTCGTTGCATTTTGTATCTTCACATTTTTCTGGTGTTCAAATAGATTCAATAACATATTACTTGTTCTGTGGTTGGTAGGGCTGTTCACGGGTCGGTTCGATTTGGTTGTCTTTGATTTTGTTAACTGAACCAAAAATGTTGGGTTGAAAATTGAAACTGACCGATAAAGAGAGAAAACTGATTTTAAATTTCATTTTGTTTACATTGGTTTAATTGGTTTTAGTTAAAACAAATCGAAATTAATGCTTGTAGCCAAAATTAACTTTTGTAGCCTAAAACTGTACCTATATGCTCCCCACATTTCTGACAAGTTGTAGATGGCTAGTTGAGTGTTAGTCGGTCCCTATACCTGTACCTATAGCTGTCTCTTTGGTTTTCACTCCTATGAATAGACTTAACTTTTTACTTTTTTGTGTCAGTCCCTTTTCTTAATTAGATCATAGATGGAGATGATTAGAAAGTAGTGGCTGTCAATTAAAAGTAAAAGAGATGAAAAATATATAAGATATATGAATTATAAAAGGCAAATATGTGTAGTATGCTCTGGTTGGTTTCACATTAGGTTACAAAAAGTATAACCGCAACCAAACTGGGACATCGAGTTTTGCCATTTTTAAACCGAGACCGACTGAACCATTTTAGAAACTGACCATCTCGGGTCGAGTCGATCTGGTTTGGTCGATTTAGAACATCTTCTAAACAGCCCTAGTGGTTGGGTGTTGATTTGACTTTTGATTGCTCAGCTTAGCAGGTACAATGGTGCAACTATTGTAATTTGTGTCAATTCAATTTTAGTCAGAACTTTGTATTGCTATTCCAAGTTAGCTAGCCTGTCTGGATTATTATAGCCAGATGTTGCATAATATTTACTAGCGGGGACCCGTGTGATGCACGGGAAAATCTAAAAAATTTAATAATTTTATCTATTATTAATTAATATTAAATTAATAATTAAAATTTGATATTAATAAACTAAAAGTATTCAAAGTTATTGTTAATATCTAAAATTTTAATAATTGTATTTCCATTTAATGTTCATTTACAAAAAATAACTATTGTTAATTTAATATGAACAAATATTTTTTAATAAATTTATTTTTATTAATAATTTGTTATAATTTTAATAATTGTAATTATTTTTATTATTTTTAAATGAAATTTTGATTAACTTTAAATAAATAAAAATAATTACAAAAACTAACAGCAGGGTGGGTTTAGGGCGGGGCACCCCATCCCTATCCCTACCCTATAGTCAATGTTAGATAGTGTATGCCCTTAGCTCTAATCAGAATGATGTACCTTATGACATTTAATGTAAATGAATAAAGTACATATTTGATTCATGTCATTGTGGTGTGTTTCTGTGTAATACCCTTAAACTGGATACTTAATGAGACTCGTGTTAGTTTAGAATGTCCACAGCCGTTGGATAAGTCTGGGGAGATTTAT